TCATTTTAATGTTTCGTCTGAATGTTGTTTAATTATTGTTGTGAAGCACTTTGTATTGCATTTCACGCAAGAATTGCGCTATGAACGTGAAGTTTGATTTTATTTGATGGGTTCTATTGTGACGATGCGGTCCATTGTGATTATGGGTTCTTTTGTGACGACGTGTTCCATTGTGACGTTGGGTTCTATTGTGATGATGGGTTCCATTGTTACGATGGGTACCATTGTGATGATGGGTTCCGTTATGAGGATGGGTTCTTTTGTGACAATGGGTTCCATTGTTACGATGGGTTCCATTGTTACGATGGGTTCCATTGTTACGACGCATTCCATTGTTATGATGGGTTCCATGGTTACGATGGGTACCATTGTGATGATGGGTTCCATTGTGAGGATGGGTTCTATTGTGACGATGGGTTCCATTGTTACGATGGGTTCTATTGTAACGATTGGTTTCCATTGTTAAAGATGGGTTATATTGTTACGATGCGTTCCATTGTTACGATGGGTTCCATTGTTACGATGCATTCCATTGTGACGTTGGGCTCTATTGTTACGATGGGTTCCATTGTTACGATGCGTTCCATTGTGATGATGGGTTCCGTTGTGAGAATGGGTTCTATTGTGACGATGGGTTCCATTGTTACGATGCGTTCCATTGTTACGATGCGTTCCATTGTGACGTTGAGTTCTATTGTGATGATGGGTTCTATTGTTACGATGGGTACCATTGTGATGATGGGTTACGTTGTGAGGATGGGTTCTATTGTGACGATGGGTTCTATTGTGACGATGGGTTCCGTTGGTACGATGGGTTCCATTGTTACGATGGGTTCCATTGTTACGACGCGTTCCATTGTTACGATGGGTTCCATTGTTACGATGAGTACCATTGTGATGATGGGTTCCGTTGTGAGGATGGGTTCTATTGTGACGATGGGTTCCATTGTTACGATGAGTTACATTGTAACGATGCGTTCCATTGTTACGATGGTTCCATTGTGACGATGCGTTCCATTGTAACGATGGGTTCCGTAGTTACGATGGGTTCCATTTGATGATGGGTTTCATTGTGATGATGGATTCCATTATGACGCATTCCATTGTGATGATGGGTTGCCTCGTGGCGATGGGTTCCATTGTCACAATTTGTTCCATTGTGACGATGCATGCCATTGTGATGATGCGTTCCATTGGGATTTCGGCATTTCTGGAACGTGTGCTGGTTTGGCCTCCTCCCGATTTAGTGACCCAACATCGGTGACCTCCTCCGGCAGGCCCGGTTGCCTTGTCTGTGTCACGTAGCCCGCATGTCCAACCATCGCATGCCCAACCACCGAATGCCCAAAGCGGCTTTTGTTTGACCGGGTAGATGGGTTGGTGGGGGCGGGGACGGCAGAGCTAAATGGGCGCGTCACGAGCTGGAGAAGAGATGGAGCTGATGTGGTATGGGAGGACGTGGAGCTGAGTGGACCCAGCCGATGACCGGTGACCCAGCGGTGTCAAGATCGGCCTCTCTGCAGGAGAGGCCGGTAGCGGCAGCAGCAGGACGCTGCTGCCGCTACCGGGGCCAATTGGATTGCGGTCGCCCCTCCAAGCAACAACGACGGAGGGCGGAGGAGCGACGCTCACAGCGGCGAGCGGAGGCGCCGGGCGGCTGAAGTGCTGGGAGTTTGGCGCAGCAGAGGGCACGGGCGGTACATCGGCCAATCGTCTCGGTCGGTCAACACCATGGCACCTGTAGGGTCTGTCCCGTGACCTCCCGCTAGCAAGCAAAAAACTTCGACGCTTCAAGTCGCCTCAAAGTGCACCCAGTATGGGGCAAGCACAGCTAAGGCGTCGCTGACACCCCGTGGCGAATGAAAGCTGTTGCTTTTGTTGTTGTTCTGGTGTGCACCTGTGTGTGTGTGTGTGTGAGCACGCGTGCGGAGTGCTACGTGGACTGGAGAGGAGATGGAGCTGATGCGGAACGGGAGGATGTGGGGCTGAGTGGACTTGGACCAGCGGTGTCCTCCTGTGGAGGAGGAGGAGGCTCGTGAAGGACGCTGCTACTGGGCAGTTGGGAGGCAGTTGCCCTCCAGCAAACAACGGAGGGAAGAGGGAGCGACGCTCACAACAGCGAGCGGAGCGCCGGACGGATAAAATTCAGCAAGTTACACAGTAGGGTGTTACAAGGGTCATCTCAGTCGGTCGACCCATGGCACCTGCTGGGTCTGTCCCGAGACCTCGTGCACCTAGCCTGGCACAGTAGGGGGGTACAGCTGGTGGTGAATCTACCGGTCATCTCAGTCGGCCGACCCATGGCACCTGCTGGGTCTGTCCCGAGACCTCGTGCACCTAGCCTGGCACAGTAGGGGGGTACAGCTGGTGGTGCATCTACCGCTCATCTCAGTCGGCCGACCCATGGCACCTGCTGGGTCTGTCCCGTGACCTCGTGCACCTAGCCTGGCACAGTAGGGGGGTACAGCTGGTGGTGCATCTACAAGTCATCTCAGTCGGTCAACCCATGGCACCTGCTGGGTCTGTCCCATGACCTCGTGCACCTAGCCTGGCACAGTAGGGGGGTACAGCTGGTGGTGCATCTACCACTCATCTCAGTCAGCCGACCCATGGCACCTGCTGGGTCTGTCCCGAGACCTCGTGCACCTAGCCTGGCACAGTAGGGGGGTACAGCTGGTGGTGCATCTACCGGTCATCTCAGTCGGTCGACCCATGGCACCTGCTGAGTCTGTCCCGTGACCTCCTGCACCTAGCCTGGCACAGTAGGGGGGTACAGCTGGTGGTGCATCTACAAGTCATCTCAGTCGGTCAACCCATGGCACCTGCTGGGTCTGTCCCGTGACCTCGTGCACCTAGCCTGGCACAGTAGGGGGATACAGCTGGTGGTGCATCTACCGGTCATCTCAGTCGGCCGACCCATGGCACCTGCTGGGTCTGTTCCGTGACCTCCTCCTGTCAGCAGCGAGCCTTCGACACTTCACGTGGTGGCTTCACCGTGCACCTAGCCTGGCACAGACCCCGTGGTGACGTCACCGTCACCTGAGTGGCGAATGGCGTGGGTATTGGCATTTGTGGAGCGGTGAGCCCGGCGAACCGAATTTGTTCGTGCAATGAGTGGCCAGCATCACGCACGGCCGCCTTTGTCTCCCCTGTGGCGATGTTTAACTGCACACAGCACCAGGTTACTCATTTGAGGCTCAGTCGACCTAGGGGAGGCCCACGACTGGTTCAGCAATCGTCATCCGGGTTAGCCGTGAGAGGGAATCGAACTCGCATCTCGGGGTTCGTAGCGCAGTGCGCCAACCGCTGCACTCCCCCCCACAGACACAGACGGTGGTGGTGGTGGTGGCGGTGGTGGTGGCGGTGGCGGTGGCGGTGGCGGTGGTGGTGGCGGTGGTGGTGGCGGTGGCGGTGGTGGTGGCGGTGGTGGCGGTGGTGGTGGCGGTGGTGGTGGTGGTGGCGGTGGCGGTGGTGGCGGTGGTGGTGGTGGTGGCGGTGGCGGTGGTGGTGGTGGTGGTGGTGGCGGTGGTGGTGGTTGTGGTGGTGGTGGCGGTGGTGGTTGTGGTGGTGGCGATGGTGGTTGTGGTGGTGCTCGTGGTGGTGGTGGTGGTGGCAGGGGTGGTGGTGGTGGCGGTGGTGGTTTTAGTGGTGCTGGTGGTGGTGCTGGTGGCGGTGGTGGCGGCCATGAACGGGAATCGAACTCGGGTCACGCTGGGTTCAAAATTCGGCGCGACACCGCTCGCCAGTTGTGGTTGTTGTTGTCGTGGTTGTGGTTGTTGTTGTCGTAGTTGTAGTTTTGTTGTTGTCGTGGTTGTTGTTGTTGTCGTGGTTATTGTTGTTGTGGTTGTTGTTGTGATTGTTGTTGTGGTTGTTGTCGTGGTTGTTCCTGTGGTTGTTGTGGTTGTTGTTGTCGTGGTTGTTGTGGTTGTTGTGGTTGTTGTCGTGGTTGTTGTTGTTGTCGTGGCTGTTGTTGTTGTGGTTTTGTTGTTGTGGTTGTTGTCGTTGTTGTGGTTTTGTTGTTGTCGTTGTTGTCGTGGTTGTTGTGGTTGCTGTTGTTGTTGTTGTTGTAGTTTTGTTGTTGTTGTGGTGTTGTCGTGGTTGTTGTTAGAATTCCTTTGCGCAGTTGAAATGCAGTTACTGTCTGTGATCATCACCATGACCACCATCATCATTACCACCACCACCATCATCATCATCACCATCATCACCACCATCATCACCATCACCACCATCATCACCATCACCACCATCATCATTATCACCACCACCATCATCATCACCACCATCACCACCATCACCACCATCATCACCACCATCACCATCATCACCACCATCACCACCAACATCACCATCACCACCATCACCACCACCATCACCACCATCACCACCATCACCACCACCATCACCACCATCACCACCATCACCATCCCCACCATCATCACCCCCCCCCCCTACTCCTCATCCTGCTGCTGCTGTTCCTTCCCGCGGGTGCCGGGAGGGAGGGGGGAAGGAGGGGATTGACCCCCCTCCACCCCCACCCCTCCACCCCTCCACCCCCTCCACCCCCTCCACCCCTCCACCCCCACCCCTCCACCCCTCCACCCCCTCCACCCCCTCCCCCTCCACCCCTCCACCCCCACCCCCTCCACCCCCTCCACCCCCACCCCTCCACCCCCTCCACCCGTCCACCCCCACCCCCTCCACCCCCACCCCTCCACCCCCTCCACCCGTCCACCCCCACCCCCTCCACCCACTCCCTTCACTTCCACCCCCCCCTACATTCCCACCCCCCACCCCCTCCACCTCCCCAAAGCCCTCCACCACCCCCCACCCTCCTCATCCACCCCCTCCATCTCCTCCACCACCCCCCTCCCATCCACCCCCTCCACCCCCCCTCCACCTCCCCACCCCCCCACCCCCACCCCCTCCACCCCAACCCCCCCCCCCTCCCACCGGCGCCTCTGTGGATTCAAGGAGGGGACCCGGGAGAGGCCACTTGGCAGCAGCAGCAGTAGCGCGCCCGCCGATAAAAGGCGCCGCGCTCGCCAGTTGCGGGCGACAGTCGCGGGCAAGCGACAGTCGCGGGCAACAGTTGCAAGCGACAGTCGCGGGCAACAGTCGATCCTGCCAGAGCGGGTAAGCGTTGTGAAGGATCGCAGTGTGCGGCTGCTGTCGAGATGCCTGTGCATGTGCGTTGCGTGTCCGGGTGTGGCAATGTGTCTAGCAAAACATCGCCACTCGGGGGAGACAAAGGCGGCCGGGCGTTTGGTTGCTGGCCACCCACCCCCGCCCTGGTGCTCGCTAACAGCACTTGCCCCTACAGTCTGCTAAGGCTATACGGGGGGATCTTTGTCTTTGTTTTTTTTTTGTCTGTGTGTGAGTGTGTGTATATATTTAACACCGGTGACGAATATCTGAACCGGTCCTGGGCCTCCCCTAGGTCGACTCGGCCTCAAATGAGTTCCTGGTGCGATGTGTAGTAAACATCATCGCTACTTGGGGAGACAAAGGCGGCCGGGCGTGGTTGCTGGCCACCCACCCCCCTCTGCGTCCACGGATTGCTGCTCGCTACTCCTCGCACCCGACAGTCGGTTAAGGCTACAGGGGGGAGATCTTTCTCTTGACTTTGTGTGTGCGTGTGCCGTGTGCTCTGAAGAAGGTCCATTGGCCGAAACGTCGAATAGTAAGTTTCCCCGGTGGCTAGGAGATGTTAACTACCTCGCCTAGTATACAGGAGGTCGTGGGTTTTATCCCGACCCTGAAGCCTACTGTTTATTTGGAGTTTGCGTGTCTCTCTCTCTCTCATCATCATCTTCACTGTGGCTAGGAGATGTTAACTACCTCGCCTGGTATACAGGAGGTCGTGGGTTTGATTCCGACCCTGATGCCTGCTGTATATTAAAAGTTTGCGTCTCTCTTTCTCTCATCATAATCACGGTGGCGAGGAGATGTTAACTACCTCGCCTGGTGTACGGAAATCTTGAATTAAAGCTTTCGTGACTGCAGGAATAAAATTCGTTGGGTCTTTCGTTAAAGTCACGTAGATAGGTTTAAAAAAAAAATAAGAACTAAACCACGACGTTTCGATCGCAACGCAGGCGGTCATGGTCAGGAAAAGAGTGTTAGCTTCTATTGGCAAACTGTTTAATAAACACATTTAGAATCAACGTCACGCGTTTTTCAATATTTGGCTGCTGCGATAAATTTCGACTTTGTGACGATGATGATGATATCATTTGTGATAGCCCGCGGTCGCTTCTAGGAAATGGCTCCAAAGCAGTTGAGTGGCGCCTGCCCTGGTTAAAATAAACAATAAAAGTTTGTAGTTTACGATAATATCGAGATTATTTATCCCCCTTTCTTCTTTGGTTCTTTCGGTAAAGTCACCACGTAGAATGAGAATACAATAATAAAATAACACAATACAATTCTCACGACGTTTCGGCCACAGGTGAAAGGAACAAACCTGTCGGGACGACAGAGCCGCAATGAACGCTGCTAAGATTCGCAGCGACTTTTTAAGCTGGTTGAGAGAAGCGAGGCACCTTGACAAAAGGGGGTTTACATATCAAACAGGAGAATCTAGCATTGAAACAGTTGAGGGATTAGCTTGTGACTGGTCAAAGCCTACACATATCCACAGAGGCACCTAGTGCATGGACGCCAAAGGGGCTGCAACAAGTCAACCATCATACAGTAAACCGATGTGAAATAAAAAAATCCCGTGTTACTTAAACCCACGCTAAACGGCTAAAGACAACGTTGCACAATATTTTAACCCTCTTCACATTGCACGCGCTAACAATAGAGTTTTTGTTACGTCTACTGGACCGTTGTATATTTATCAGTACAGGCACTCCTCTACTTACGAACGAGTTAGGTTCCAGAGGATTGTTCGAAAGTCGATTTCTTTGTAAGTCGTAACTGTACTCCTGTTGATTCCAAATGTGTTTTACGGCATGCGTACTAAACACGGGGAATGGCTTTAAACGTTGTATCATCTCCTGTAAATGTAGATGCCACTGGTTCTTCACGGTCTGCAGATGTAGATGCCACTGATTCTTCACGTTCTGCAGATGTAGATGCCACTGGTTCTTCACGTTCTGCAGATGTAGATGCCACTAGTTCTTCACGTTCTGCAGATGTAGATGCCACTGGTTCTTCACGTTCTGTAGATGTAGATGCCACTGATTCTTCACGTTCTACAGATGTAGATGCCACTGGTTGTTCATGTTCTGCAGATGTAGCTGCCACTGGTTATTCACGTTCGGCAGATGTAGATGTCATTGGTTCTTCACGTTCTGCAGATGTAGATGCCACTGGTTCTTCACGTTCTGTAGATGTAGATGCCACTGATTCTTCACGTCTACAGATGTAGATGCCACTGGTTCTTCACGTTCTGCAGATGTAGATGCCACTGGTTATTCACGTTCTGCAGATGTAGATGCCACTGGTTCTTCACGTTTTGCAGATGTAGATGCCACTGGTTCTTCATGTTCTACAGATGTAGATGCCACTGATTCTTCACGTTCTGTAGATGTAGATGCCACTGGTTCTTCACGTTCTGCAGATGTAGATGCCACTGGTTCTTCACGTTCTGTAGATGTATATGCCACTGATTCTTCACGTCTACAGATGTAGATGCCACTGGTTCTTCACGTTCTGCAGATGTAGATGCCACTGGTTATTCACGTTCTGCAGATATAGATGCCACTGGTTCTTCACGTTTTGCAGATGTAGATGCCACTGGTTCTTCATGTTCTGCAGATGTAGATGCCACCACCGCCATCTATTGCGGGTGGCGGTTGAACTTTCACGACTCTCGGTCCGAATGTGCAACTCGACATACAGACCATGCTTGTGCGTATCTTTAAAAGTTCGTAAGTCGGTTTGTTCGTAAGTAGATGAGTCCCTGCTTCAAGAATGATGAAGCAATACAATCGAAGGCTTTATACCCTGCCAGGCTCTGACACAGGAGGTGTTAAGATGTCCAAAATCACCAAATAGAGAGCGGTACCTAAATGATTACAAGGTGCCGTCAAGTCTGCATGAACCACGTACCCTGTCTGCCAATAACACGGGAGATGATAAGATGTCCAAAGCACCCAAATAGACATTAGTACCTATTAGAAAACAGTGTCAAGTCTATACTCTTTGGTTCTATTTGGGTAAAGTCACGTAGGTAAAAAATAAAATAACAAAAATCACGACGTTTCGGCCACAACACAAGCGGCCTTCATCAGCTGAAGGGACGAAACTGTCTGGAGGACAGTGCTGGAGTGAAATCTAGAAGTGTCAAGTCTGTATTAACCACACATCACGCTTGTGGGGAAATCAAGCCAACAATTCTTTTTTTTTTAAATCTTATTTAAAAAGGTGTACAGAGCGTTTTTGGTCAAGGCGTTGAACGAAGAATTGTCCATATGTAAAGCAGAAGATTGGAGTTGAGATGAGTTGATGAGAAGGTTGGTGGTACGTGATGATGATGCTAATGAAAGTGACAGTGAGTGGATGATCATTTTGATGATGTGTGGAATAAACGACGACGATGATGATGATGATGAAAGTAACAGTGAGTGGATGATGATGATGATGGTGATGAGTGGAATAGATCATGATGATGATGAAAGTGGCAGTGAGTGGATGATGATGGTGATGAGTGGAATAGATCATGATGATGATGAAAGTGGCAGTGAGTGCGAAGATGATGATGATGAAAGTAACAGTGAGTGGATGATGATGATGGTGATGAGGGGAATAGATCATGATGATGATGAAAGTGGCAGTGAGTGTGAAGATGATGATGATGGTGAGTTAGTGAGTGGGTAGAGAAGTTGGGAAGAGTGATGGTGTGTTTCGTGATGGGGGTTTGGAGGGGGAAGGAGTGAGTTGCCAATCTAGATGATGATTTAAAAGTAGCACAGCTCTCAGTGGCCCTCCCCGTGTCGGAAGAAAGAGAACGTTCCAGACGGCCGCTTTCTGCGGCCGTCTGGCTCCATCTACGTCGCTGGGGCTTTGCTCATTGCCGCCGAGCTCACAATTTCCGGTCGGCCAGAGTCCACCCAAACCCAGGGCCCTCTCACCAAGTCACGCTTCTCCTTCCGTCACTCGCTCTCCTACAAGGCTTACATCCAACTCTGATGTTACAAGCTTTGGCCACTCGTTCCCCTCCAAGGCTTACATCCCAGCCTGATGTTACAATCTTTGTCCACTCGCTCCCCTCCAAGGCTTACATCCCAGTCTGATGTTACAATCCTTGGCCACTCGCTCCCCTCCAAGGCTTACATCCCACTCTGATGTCACAAGCTTTGGCCACTCGCTCCCCTCCAAGGCTTACATTCCACCCTGATGTTACAAGCTTTGGTCACTCGCTCCCCTCCAAGGCTTACATCCCAACCCTGATGTGCAATCTTTGGCCACTCGCTCTCCCCAGGGTCTGGAATGCTATTGGCAATAAACTGCAACATGAATCACTACTTATGAGATCTTCTTTGGTTCTTTCGGTAAAGTCACGTAGAATGAGAATAAAATAATAAATTGATAAAATAAAATAACACAATAATATTCTCACGACGTTTCGGCCACAACACAAGCGGCCTTCATCAGGTGAAGGGACGAGACTGTCTGGTAGGACAGCGCTGGAGTGAAAGAGCCACGTTCAGATCACGGCCTTTAAGCTGTGTGACAGGCCGTGATCTGAACGTGATCTGAACGTGGCTCTTTCACTCCAGCGCTGTCCTACCAGACAGTCTCGTCCCTTCACCTGATGAAGGCCGCTTGTGTTGTGGCCGAAACGTCGTGAGAATATTATTGTGTTATTTTATTTTATCAATTTATTATTTTATTCTCATTCTACGTGACTTTACCGAAAGAACCAAAGAAGATGAATCATTGCAGTCACGAAAGCTTTAAATCGATACTTATGAGATCTTCACTCAAAACTGCTCTAGAGGAGTTGTACACCCCTAGCTACCACTGCTATTCAGTGGCCTAAAATAAAATAAAATATTTCGCTCCGGATGACCGCTGCAAAGTATTATCTGTATTTTGATTTAGTGTGCTGATCTTAAAGGTGCATTGACAAATTTGATACTCCGACTGATGCTCCTGCTGTTGTGGAGTGACTCATGCAGCCAGCTATGGTTGCAGGGATTGGTGGTACATGTTGTTTATGTCGTTTGTTGTGAAGATTCAGTCACAGTTCCTATGATCACTGTTACATTGCTTTCACGGCTTTATTTTGGTGATTCGAAAACGTGTTTTGGTTTGGCCATGTTTGTTTGTTGTAGTACGGAGTTAGACTGATGGCCTTAATCTAAGTTGTCTTGTGGTTGTTGTTGTTGTTGTTTGACTTGCATCCCACTGGGATTTTTGCACACAGCGTTGGTGTACGGTGCTTTTTCTGGACTATTTTGCTGTTTTTTCCTCGATTTTCTGTTTGCACAGTCACATTCACTTTAAGATGTTTTCTTGTTCATGTTTTTGGTTTTTGCCTGTTGCGGTTGCACCAGATTCAAGAGCCGAATGGCTCAGAGGGCTATACCACGTAAATAAAACTGAAACTTAACAAAAAAAAACTCCTCTAAGGCTTACATCTCATTCTGATCTGAAATCTTTGGACACTCGTTTTCCTCCAAGGATAACATCCAACCTGCCACCAAACTTCCTAATCATTTCCTCATCTTTACACGACTAGACTATTGTAATTGTCTCATGTTCGGTGTACCATCCTACGCGTTCAAGCCACTCCAACAAAATCAACGCGCCGCCTCACGTATCATCTTCAATCTCCCCTTTTATGCCCCACACGTCATCTCTCCTCATTCAGCTACACTGGCCCCCTGTTTATTATTGGCGCCTCTTCAAATCAATTACCCTAATTTATAAAGAGCTCTCCGCGGCCTGGCTACCTTACCTCCCTTCTCTCATCTCACTTCACGTTCCCTGCCCCGCTCTCTGCGTTCTAAATCTTTGCCATCCTCTTTCCGTTCCTCCTTCTCAGTGTGCACATTCTCGGTTTCGCTCATTCCCTCTCGCCGCCACCCCCGTCACAGGATTCAACTGCCCTTGCACGTCAAACAATCGCTCTCTCTCTCTCTCTCACTGCCTTCCGTTCTTCTGTTAAACCCGCCACTTGTTACTCTCTATTGCTCACCCTTCCTTCTCCCCCCAGTGTTGTCCTCTCCAACTCGCATTAACGCCGCCTTCCCTATTCCCCAACTCCCCGTGGTCATCCGTCATAAATCATCTCATCTCATTTCCACCTTCGCTCATTCCACGCATCGCAGTCGTCATCGCCACCACCACTACCACCACTACCACCACCACCACCTCGTTTTACATCTATCCCATCCACTCATCTCGTTTTAATCTCACCAACCATCTTGTACCATACTTCGATCACTGTACAACGCCTTGGCTAAGAAGCTATAAAAATGTCACCTCCTCCCCTCCCTCCCCCTAAAATCCCCCCCCACCCCCCATTCCTCCCACCTCGCTAGCCATGGAGTCCACAAATCTGTCTGCCAATGCCTTGGATGCCACCAACGCCACCTCGGACCTCATCCTCATGGCCACGCTCTTCCGAGACCCACCCGCCGCTCGCTACTCGGCCTTCGCGGCCCTCCTCCTCGTCTACGCCTTCACGGTGGCGGCCAACGCCACGCTGGGCCTCGTCATCTGCCTCGAGGCGAACCTCCACCGGCCCATGTACGTGCTCATGGCGCTGCTGGCGCTCACCGACGTCCTGGAGACGACCAACGCGCTGCCGAGGATCATGGCCAACCTCGTCTCGAGCAGCAACTACGTGCCCATGCCCGAGTGCATCGCCCAGATGTTCTTCTACCACATAGCCATCAGGGTGCAGTCGTTCATCCTCACCGCCATGTCCGTGGACCGCTACGTGGCCATCGTCCACCCGCTGCGCTACCACTCGATCATGTCCAACGCGCTGGTCCTCAAGGTCTTCCTGGCGTCCGTGGCGCTCGCGGCGTTGCCGATCATCGGCTACGTGAGTGTGGTGGTGCGCCTGAACTTCTGCCGGGTCAAGGTCACCTACTCGCCCAACTGCGACATCATGATGATTAGCAACCTGTCGTGCAGCGACCTCTACCCCAACGTCTTCTACACGTACGCGAACATCATCACGGGCATCGCCCTGCCGCTGCTGCTCGTCGTCGCCATGTACGGGCTCGTCTTCGCCGACCTCCGCCGCCGGAGGGGCGGCTCGTCGCAGCAGAGGCACAGGAAGGCCGTGCACACGTGCGTGACGCACCTGTTCAACGTCGCCGTCTTCTTCAGCTCCATCGTGTTCACCTTCATCAACGGCCTCAACCTCTACACGATCCCGCGCGACGTTCGATTCCCGCTGCAGAGCCTCCAGTACGTGGTGCCGCCCGCCCTCAACCCGGTGGTGTACGGGCTGCGCACGGCCGAGATCCGGCGAGCCTTCGTGAGGCTCGTGACGAGGCGCGTGGCTCCCGCGGCGTCCGCTAAGTGAAACAAATTGACCGTTGCCCATGTGCTCGTCCCTCGTCTCTTCTGCAGCAACATCATCATCATTATCACCACCACAATCGTTGTTGACCGTTGTCCATGTGCTCATTGCACGTCTCTTCTGCAACGGCATCATCGTCGTCGTCGTCATCACTAATCGTTATCTGCATCGTGGGAGTCATCACTATTTTCATGCGGGTTTCCTACCACATGTAAGCACTCATTAAATTGGGCCGATAACGCATGCAAATGTGGTTAGAGGAACGCAGAGCTTGGCAATTGTTGGTAGCGCCGGCTATTCATCATTGCATAGCTCCTGCTTCTGCCGCTTTTATGCTCCTCATCCGGTTAGCACGGTTGTCTATGTACGGTGCGAAAGAAGTTCAACATACATACATTCATAGAGGGGTCGGTTACGTACAGTGAAAATTAAGTTCAACGTACATACACACGCGGCACGGTTGGCTACGCACGGTGTGAAAGAAGTTCAACATAAATACACAGATAGCATGGTTGGCTGCGTGGCTGCCATAAACGTGGACATTTATAGCAGCTAAATGCTCTAACCGGATGTTGATTACAAACTTGGAGGGAAAAAAAAACCAAAGGAACCGGTAGAAAAAAATCCACGTGACCACAGGGAGAACATTCAAACTCCAAATATACAGCGTTAGAGTTGGGATGTAACCCACGACCTCGTGTATACCGGGCGAGATAGTTAACATCTTGCCACCGCGGCGCCCATGTGGAAAACAAAAATAGCCTTTGAGAAAAACTCACCCGTTCCGTGATGGCCCCTTGCCGGCTCGGCTCGGATATGCCAGTGGGAAAGTGGGATCGGGACTTCAATCACATCTTACTGATAGGTGTGTGTGTGCGCGATCGTTTTTGGCGTGAACTATCAGCTAAATCACAAAGCCGCAGAGTCTCTCTACTCAAATGAGCATTAATAGCCGTACGAAAGAAGAAGATGCACACACGGAAAATGTTAAACTCTCTAGTAGTGGTGTGGCGAGTGTGGTTATCCAGAACAGACCGCAGTACAACGTTTAACGATACAATCACCCCCCCCCCACCCGATTCACAAATACGAGGAAGAAATCACAGCGACGATGATTCATTACTCCGCTACTGCTCCTGACATGGTAGTTATCTGGGCTTGACCACCTGAATGTGAAATTGTAAACGTTGCTCTGCAATCTACATCGGCAGCCGTACGGAAGAAGAAGACGATATATTGTTGTTTTTTTCGGTAAAGTAACGTTAATTTTTTTTATTATAAAAATAATAAAAATAAAAGAAAAATAATAGCGGGTTTTTTTGTTTTATTATTTTCAATGTATTTTTATTTTACATTTTTTAATTTTAATAAAATGTTACTATTTTTTCATTTTTAATTTTTATAGCGGGTTTTTTGCTTTTATTATTTTCTATTTATTTTGTTTATTTTGTATTTTTATTTTATTTAAGAATAAAAGTGTTTTCTATCTACGCGACTTTACCCGAAAGAACCAGGACTATGAATTCCTGCAGTCACGAAAGTTTTAAGTCAACATTTAAGAAGTCGATTGAAAGTGATGGCGCTGATCTCGTTTTAAAGTCACCCCCGTGCTCGGAGTGGACATTCCACATTCCTCTGGTGGAAAACAGTTCATAATAATGGAACAGGCATGCCAATGGCTACGATAATTCAGTGCGTAGAAATGTTGCCGCCCACTCACGGCGCGAATTGCGTAAATGGCGGCGCGGGGAGTGAACGCCGGGTCGCGATTGGCCAAACGGGGGTAGGATCGGCGGCGTCTTAGCCCCCCACCCACCTCTTCCCACAGGATACACGTCGGCGGTCACGTGACTCCCCACCCCCCACCCCATGTCAGAGCAACGTGGGAGACACTATGGCGTCAGGTTGTCCGGGGTGTCAATTCGTGGACCAGGGATCATCACATCGCCAGGCCTGTTAGTTGGGGGTGCCCGCGGGGGCGCTAGGAGATGTTAACTACCTCGCCTGGTATGCAGGAGGTCGTGGAATTCGATCCCGACTTTGACGAAGCCTGCTGCTGTATATTTGGAGTTTGCGTGTCTCTCTCTCTCATCATCATCACCACCACGGTAGATAGATGTTAACTACCTCGCCTGGTATACAGGAGGTCGTGGGTTCCATCCAGACCCTGACTCCCGCTGTATATTTGGAGTCTGCGTGTCTCTCTCTCTCTCTCTTTTACCCGTGGTGAGACGTTAACTACCTCGCCTGGTGTGCAGGAGGTCGTGGAATTCGATCCCGACCTTGACGAAGATTTTTTTTGTAATCCGGGTCATCCGGTTTTTGTTGCCCTCCACATTTAGAATGAATGTCACGCTTTTACAGTATGTGGTTGTTGTAAAATGTCCGTGTGATAATCCACTTTGTTGAGCTTTCATTTGTGACGAAGGCCCCTTCCGACAAAGAGCTACAATGCAGTAGCTCAGGGGGGACCTTACCTCGTAAAATAATAAATCGTTTTTAGTATGCCGACGTTTTTGGTGAGTTGGTGCAAATAAATAAAGGTGCACCACAGTGGCTGCCTTTATGCAAGGTTGGTGGACAAGCGAGCAACGGGACGCCAGCATGAATCACCCCCATGGCACCTACCCACGCACCCACTTACCTATCCACTCAACTACCCACTCATTTTTATAGCCACTCAACTACCCACTCACCCACGCACGCACTCACCAACCCACTCAGAGAGAGAGAGAGACACACACAGAGAGAGACAGAGACAGACAGACAGACAGTAATGGACAGAAATAGACAGACAGGGACAAACAGAGACAGACAGACAGATAGACAGAGACAGACAGACAGAGACAGACAGACCGAGACAGACAGACAGACACAGAGACAGACAGAGACAGACTTACAGAAACAGACAGACAGAGACAGACAGAAATAGACAGACAGAGACAGAGAGACAGACAGACACAGAAAGAAACAGCCAGAAAGAGACTGACAGAGAGAGAGACAGACAGAGACAGAAACAGACAGGCAGAGACAGACAGAGACATACACAGAGAGAAGGACAGACAGAGAGACAGACAGAAAGAGAGACAGAGAGAGACGGAGAGATAGACAGAGAAAAAGAGAGTGACGGAGAGACAGACACAGAGACAGACAGAGACAGACACAGACAGACAGAAAGAGAGACAGACAGAGACACACACCCAGACAAACCCAGACACACACAACCCACACACGCCCACCCAGACACCCACACCCACCCAGACACACCCAGACACACACACCCACCCAGACACACCCAGCCACACACGCATCCAGACACACCCACCCAGACACACCCAGACACACACACCCAGAAACATACACCCACCCAGACACACCCAGACACACACCCAGACACACACACCCACCCAGACACAGCCACACACACACACACCCAGACACACCCAGACACACAGACCCACCCAGACACACCCACCCAGAAACACCCAGACAAAACAACAACCGCCATTCGCCACTAAGTGGCGGTGACGTCACCAAGTGGCGGTGACGTCACCACGACGCTTGTGGCAGGCCATGTGCATTTTGAGGCCACGTGAAGTTTCGAACGCCCGCTGGCAGGAGGTCACGGGGCAGACCCAGGTGCCACGGGTCGACTGACTGAGATGACTGAGATGACTGGCTGATGCACCACCTTTGCCCCCTTCTGTGCCAACTTGCTGTGCTTTAGCTATCCGGCACTCCGCTCGTTGTTGTGAGCGTCGCTCCTCCGCCCTCCGTTGTTGTTGGGGGGCGACTGCCTCCAACTGCCCAGTAGCATCCTTCACGAGCCTCCTCCACAGAGGCCGATCTTGACACCGCTGGTACCAGTCATCGGCAAGTCCACTCAGCTCCACGTCCTCCTGTACCACATCACTCCATCTCTTCTCTAGCCCGTGCCGCGCCCGCTAAGCCCCCTCAATCCGGCCAAACAAAAGCTCTTTCGGCATGCGGTGGCTGGGCATGCGGGCTACACGACCCAGCCAACGCAGCCTTGCCTGCCGGAGGAGCTCACCGATGGGACTTTGCCCAGATCTTTCAAGGATTTGTAAGCTTCTCGCACAATCCAGCCTGGTTAAACCCAGGATGGATCGTAGGCAGGCCAGCCTAAATGTTTCTAACTGGCGAAGATGCTCCATTAGGGGGGTCCACGTTTCGCAAGCGTAGAGAAGGGAGGGAATGACTGTGGCCGAGAAGACTTGAAGCTCCGTGTGGAGCTTCCACATAGCGCTACGCAATCGATGAAAAGATATTGCCGCTCGACTGAGTGAGACCTCGGCTGTTAAACCAGAGCCGGTCATGAGCACACTGGCCAGGTATGGGAAACTCTCCACTCTCTCCACAACTGCCCCATCATCGATTGGGAGTTTTGGGGGTGGAGTGTCCGATGGTACAAATACCCAGGCAGATGCTTAGTTTTGGTTGGGCTGATGGTAAGGCCCCACCTCTTAGTGGCACGCTCCAGTTTCAGCAGCAGCGTCTCCAACTCCTCCTCTGAATGAGCAGCAATTATCAAATCATCGGCATATATAACGTGGTTGACCAATAGGGAGCCATCCCTTGACCGTACCCGGGCATCGATCAGTCTCCCATTATATCTGTACCAAATGGAAATTCCCCCGTACAGCGATTGAAGGCTTCACGAACTACGTGGTCAAAGATGATGTTAAATAATGTGGGAGTCAGAGGACATCCCTGTCGCACCCCAAGGTGTACAGGGAATGGCTCTGACTCCCGGCCACGTAGTTTTACCCGGGCCCGCTCACCATCATGAAGGTCCTTATTGATCGTGAGCAGAGGGTCAGGGACTCCGAAAGCACGAAGAACAACCCAGATCCCAGGCCTACTGATGGTATCATAGGCCTTGACCAGGTCAATAAAGCAGAGATGTAGGTCTTGTTTGAATTCCCTACACCTCTGCTGTAGTAAACGGACAGAAAATATAGCATCTGTGCAGGACCACCATTTCCCGAAACAGCATTGGGGCTTCACAAGCTTTTACTAAGCGTGCCTGGCAAGGCGATGTTGAATAATCCTTGCAAGGACCTTTCCCGGCACACTGAGAAGTGAGATGCCCCTGTAGTTGTTACAATCTGTGCGGTCCCCCTTCTTAAAGAGGGGGGACCACCAGGGCATCCTTCCAATCCTGCGGAACCCGTCCAGTGGTCCAGATTGTTGTTATTATGTCATATAGGGCAGTCTGTGCGCAAACGCCACCCTCTCTCAGCATTTTGCTTGGGAGATCGTCTCTACCTCGTGCCTTTCCTGGTCTCAGACTCCGGATCGCCTTCAGTACTTCCTCAACAGATGGAACCTCAGCCAGCCACTCACAGGGGGTAACTTCTTCCAATATTTGAACCACTGCAGCCTCAGCAGGGTCATCCCCACTTTGTGCCACGATGTTTTCCTGGCTGAGGGATTTTCCCCCCACCAGGACCTCACAGAAATGCTCAGCAAATCTGCAAACCTGTTCTTGGGGGTCGGAGATTGGATCACCGTTTTTCCCCCTAATGATGGTAATAAGTGTGGCGCTGCAGGTTACTTTTTTGATGGAGTTAAATAGAGATTTGTGATCACGGGCCACTGAGGCAGACTCCATCTCAGCAACCCGCGACCACTACCCATCCTTGCAGCGCCTCACGGCTCTCCGAACCTCCGAGCGAAGGCTGTGGTAAGCCTCCTCATTCTCTGACGTTGGATTCTGTAGCCGATTATAGTGGGCCTGTCGCTTTTCTCAACCATCCTGAACACCTCTGTCAGCCAGGGTCTCTGGGGAGGGTTGAACCGCGTACCCAAAGCAGCCATTGCAGCTGCATGAGTCAGTCCTAAACCTCGCCCATTTACTCTCGACATCAGGAGGAGTGGGGGACGATGCCAACCCCAGCCGCAAGCGATGATGAAATTCTCGCTTGCAACTTTCATCAGATAACTGAGACCAGGCCACTTTAGGTTGGAATGGGGTCCTGGGTGTACACCCACCACCGGAGTGGAAGAATGGCAGGCGTATCTTACAGATGACTAGTCGATGGTCAGAGGGCAGATCAGCTCCACGGTAGGTCCTGGTGTCAAGCACATGGGCTCGCATCTGCTGGTCCGTCACTATGTAGTCCAGCAGATGTTCTTGCTTGGACCCGGCATGCATCCATGATGTTGTGTGGATGCGCCGATGCCGGAACAGCATGTTGGTAATTACAAGCCGATGGGCTCCACAAAAATCTAGCAGCCTCCTACCGTTGTTATTGAGCTGATC